TCATGTCGTACGCAAAGGTGATCTGGTGCACACCTTAGCGGTGGCGGACTAACAGGGGGCGGAAGGGGCGCCCCGCCCCGGGCCTCCTGTCTTGAGGGCCCCCAAATGCCTCCGCGTTACCCTGATCAAATCCTAAACAAGACTTTAAAATGTGCTTAGTTCCTTCATAATTTCATCAAGTTCAAAATACTACAATCATCTACATTTTTTGCGCGGTACTAATATACTTTTAACTTTGCTGAACGCGTCCAATACGCTGGGGGAAGTCCCGTTCTGTAGTGGGTACTTCTTAATGAATGAAGTGCAAATAATTCACTCTTGTATGCCTACATTTACATTCACTACAATCTATTTACGTCGAAAAATAATCATTGGCCTCATTTAAAATATATTAGATTTCGTTACGTTGATATTTAATAATTTATTAGTGTTCTGATATTTTCGCGAACGGATAAGCCTTTTTTCAAATTGTAAAGTAATAAACACGATATTATTCGTTCAAAGTAATTTCATTAAAAAGTGTAAAAGTGTTTTTGATTTTTGTTGCGTGAAGAGCGACTGGTTAATCTAGCCGTGCTTTCAATAGAAAGAAAAATTTCAAAAGAAATAAACGCGATATTATTCGCTCAAAGTAATTTCATTAAAAAGTGTAATAGCGTTTTTGATTTTTGTTGCGTCAAGAACGACTGGTTAATCTAGCCGTGCTTTCAATAGAAAGAAAAATTTCAAAAGAAATCGATTTCACAGAAGTTATTAAGGAGTTCAGTAAATTTAAGGCACGAAAACACATATAACACTTTACAAAAAATAAAAAAACTATCTAAAAAACTAAAAACTGGGGGGCCTAATTCAGCTTTGCCGTCCCGGGCCCCTGACGGGCTTAGTCCGCCACTGTTTAGGATGATCTGCGAGAGCAAACAACTAACTTGGTTCATCCGGTTCATAAAACTGCTATTGGGCGAGATGCAATTGAGTGTAAAAGGTAAAAATCTTTCGCCGTTTGCGTTAATTAACTTAATAAGCAGTTATTATTCATAATGCTTCCGAGACCATTTTATGACGGCTTTCCGATCAGTTAATTTCTGAGAATATCCTTCTTGGTGCTTTATCGCAGCGCGCATCAAAACCTCGAATGCCGACCTGCATCCAGCCAACCATCTCAATCTTTACTCGATGGGAACATCGTCATGTTTAAAACTTGAGATACATTTGTGTATTTTTATTGTCTGTTCGTAAAAGAGCATAATATTCTTGAAATCGTTATTATTTAAGGCTTATCCTTGAACAGAAATCGTAAATCAGCAAATACGATCATTCAGTGTTGTCGCTAGCTTCCTGTAGTAAGTAATGATCAAAATTGATGTTGATGTTGGTGGTAATGAAAGCATGAGGGTAGTAAGAGTAATATCAAACACTAAGGTAACTTAGATTAAGACGACAGTTGCTCCAGCAATTATATTTTTTTTGGTCCAGGTTTCACAACAAGCCATTACTACGTCTTTAATGTCAAAAATAACTCTGATCAANATTGCAGCCCTCATTCTTCAGTATTCCTATCAGGGGCGTAGATTAAATATTTAAAAATAGGGATTAGTGAACAAGTAATAGACAGACAAACAGAAGCGTGCAATGTTAACGTTCTGGTCAAAGAAATTCATGTAACTATGCCATACGTATAATTAATACATAAGTAGATCTAAACAAGCTATAGCATCAATTATGATATATTACTTTTATAAAATGTCACAAGGGAGCCGCACTAAACAGACCTCCCTAACAGTTTTTATTTTGACATATTTTGTAAAAAAGGTTGCCTAGTTCAAAAACGATTTGCTTAAAACACTGATACGGCTCCTTAAGGTTCGATTAGAAGAAATAACTAATATTACAGTCTATTTCAATTGTTAGAATTGTGACCTTGAAGAAATCTGCGCGAAGATAGAAAGAATACACACTAGGCGTGAGCAAGACAGAAATGGTTGGAACAAGCTTGAACGAGCAGAGCTCTCGATGGGCGGTCTTAGGAGATCTGCTAGAATTGTACAGTACTAGACGAAAATGTTTAGCAATTTCTTAAAGCAAAAATGTATGTAAATTAACAATAGAAAACAAAGAAAAAGTTTTATATATGTGTAGAACGTTAAGTTAATTCACTTGTTATTATTTTTGGCTAAATATGCTTTTAAATATCATTCGTCATTCGTCATTTTAGCTTTTCTAAGTCGAGACGTCTCCTACCTGCCCTCTTTTTCAGAATTTTGAATTTAAGATTGGTCTTCATAACTACTAAATTATGATCGCTATCTATATCTGCTCCTGGATAACTCCTACAGTCCTTCACTTGATTTTTCAATCTTTGCCTAACAAGTATGTAATCTAACTGATATCTCCCTAAATCACCTGGCATCTTCCACGTATAGCGCCTCCTAACGTGATGGTTGAATAAAGTATTCGCGACGGTTAAGTTATGTTTATCGCAAAATTCTATCAGCCTATCTCCCCTATCATTTCTATTGCCTAATCCAAAAGAACCTGCTATTGCACCCACTTTACCTTCACCTATTACTGCGTTGAAATCTCCTAAAACTATTAGGTTGTCCTGTCCTTTCACTAAACTTAACACGTCTTCTATATCTGCATAAACTGCTTCTACGTCTTCATCACTGTAAGATAATGTAGGCATGTAGACCTGCTCTAATGCCGTTTTATTTAACCATAACTATCCTATCGCTTTTTTGTAAATAACTTTCTACACTCTGCCCTACTTTCCTACGCATTACAATTCCTACACCTGAATTACCTTCTACAGATCCTGTATGTATTACTCTAAAGTCCCCACTCCAGAAGTCTCCAGCTTCGGGCCAACGGACTTCACTTATACCTACTATATCTAATTCTAATCTATCCATCTCTATTTTTAAATTTTCTAATTTCCCTACCTGCCTCATTGACCTAACATTCCACGCTCCGACTCGTGAAACATTGCACCTATCCCTATTGCACTTATTGATGACATCCCCCGAGGTAGTCCCCGCCCGGACATCCGAATGGGGGACTAGTTTACGTCCGGAGTGCTTTACCCCAGAGGACGCCATCATTTAATTTCAGTAGTTGAACGTTTTACTCGGGATCATAATGTGGTGGTTTCCCGTTGCCTTCCACATCGCAGTATTGTGCATCAGAGTGCCATACCGATCCTCGTGATCTCTGCCACCCTGAGTACTGAAAGAGCTGCTGCCCTCTTTCAGGGACTTGTCTTAGTCTGGTTTCTCTTTAAGAACCCCTCCATTATGGTTGAACCTATGGTCCGGCTCCCTAAATCATCGAAACTCGCAAGCCGATCCACCCACTCTAGTTTGTACCAGTGTTTCGTCAAGGTTCAAGTCCCGTCGGATCGGCTTTTTTTTATACTTACCGTTTATTAATTCTTTAATATAAGTGTTACTACATACAGCACATGTTACTTTTGGTAGTGTGGTCTGACTGACCTACGCGACCCAATATGTTTTAAAATGCACGACCCACGCAGGGAAAGAAGTACAAGAAATGGAAGAGAAAAGTGCCGTTAACAATACAAAAATTCAAAAAAATATAATTACGTGCGATATACGCTAAGAGAAAGTAGTAAGTATAATAACATATAGGTAAATAACCAAATAGCAAAGGCAAATGCAATAATGGTAAAAATATGAGGAATTGGACAAGAATGCAGAAGCCACTGGGAAATGATGATTCTGTTCAACATAGTAGTAACACGTATTGTCTTCTATGGGGTGGAAAGGATATTAAGTGGAGAATATTTATAAAAAGTACATCAAATGGATGTTAAAATTGGAAAGAAGTATGCCTGACTCTACACTCAGAACAGTAAGGAGATGAATGGAAATGGTGGAGGAAAACATGGGAAGTAGGTATGAGAAAAAAGTTAAAACTTTTACAAGGAGACATAATAATGAATATGGAAAAAAAAACTTGGGTTTTGGGATGAAAAATAAATAAGACGAGGAATGAAATAAAGCGTGAAGGAAATGGCGTTAAATAAAAAGCAATAAGTACAGTGGATTTTATTTATTATAACCTTGGTTATAGCGATCATTTTGCTATAGCGACATTAAATCTAAGTCCCTTGAATTTAAACCATATTTTAGTACAAAACTCATGTGGCTATAGCGACTTCGGAGGTAACGCCGAGTTCGGGTGTAATGACTATTTTTAATGAATCATTTGTAACAAATCCGTAGTAATCCCTTGTAGATATAGCGACCGGAGTCGGCTGCGAAAGACACAAAGAGCTTTCTTATCTTTTGTCTACATCTACACATATGGTTAGCAAATGTGGTGACCTTTACCGTTTGTTTATAGATGTTAGCCAAGTAGGTAGGTAAGCCTGCTGTACGTTAAAGTGGTTCAGTTACAAAGTGATATTCTGAGTAGCGACTGTTTTTAGTAAAGTTTTGAATAAGTATGACTCCTCCATACGTATCTGTATCTCTTTAACTTTGCCTGTAACGACTTTCGGATATAACGACGAAATTACAGTGGTCCCTTCGTCGTCGTTATACCCAAAATCGACTATAATATAATAAAGAAAAAATGTGACGAAAGAGGAACACTCGAGAAGAATAGGAAGGACAAAATATGCAGAAAGAATAAAAGGATGTCTGTGGAAAGACTGGCAGGAAGATATAAGAATATTTGAGAAAAAAACAAGGATATGACATAAGATTTAGAATGGGGAACGAATGCAATCAGAATAAATATTGGTTGAAAGAGGAAGAAAAAATGTAGAATACCCAATACAGAAAATGAGAGTTTAAGTCATGTGACAGAAGAGAATCTAGAAAATAAAGTAGGGATGAATACAAACAAACATTATATTATATATATTAGGATCGGGGGAAAAAGTTTAATTTTGTTTTATTTAAAATCAAAAGGTCTTAAAAAATAACATTTTTTATTTTGTTATTATATATACATGATAAGCATTTGTTGTATTTTTGTTTATGTGATAATTTTTTGTTAATGTATACCTTTTGTTCACTAAATACTACTACTACTAAAAATTCCATTTTTACTACGTATGTACATTCTAATTCAAGATTAAATAATATCGGAAACAATTTTACAATTCATTTAAGCTATGCTAATAGTACTATACATTCATCTTGCTAAGTTGGCAATTTATAAATCAAAATATCATTCACAAAAAAATAATTGATTTGAATGGGCACATTTCATAGAACACACAATATAAGCAAAATTAATCTCGTGTAGTACTAACAGTGTGTAAAGATTTGTATGAATAAAAATATTTAATCGAAAAATAAAAAAAAATAAATTTTTACTTTTCAGAGATACATCAAAAGCAGAGAAAAAGTTTATTAGACGACAACTTGTACTAGCGACGTGTTTCCCTCTCTTCGGACATAGTGGTACATGTTAACATTTACGTATTTTGTTACTTGTACCTAACATTCACAGAATAGCCTTGAAGAATATTAGCATTCAACGATTCTACAAGATCAATTAAACAATTTTGGCATTCCACAACAAAACTGCTGATTACATACGTCATTTCAACATTCACATAATTTTAAAAAAATGTTTGAATACCTATACAGAGGAAGGTCTTTAACTGGTTATATAATGCAATATTAATTTGAAATCATTTTTTCGATTTTTTATTTACCCACTACAAACTGCCTCAAATTAATGAGGGAAAAATTGTTGCTGTTGTCACACCCCCGCCGGGAATCGAACCCGGGACCTTTGGCTTTACGCATCAATGTTATGACCACTAAACTACTGGTTCGATTCCCGGCGGGGGTGTGACAACAGCAACAATTTTTCCCTCATTAATTTGAGGCAGTTTGTAGTGGGTAAATAAAAAATCGAAGAAATGATTTCAAATTAATATTGCATATTAATCCACTATTAAGTAACTAACAATGTCATAGGGTTATGTAATGATTTCCAAGATAAAAGAAAGAAAAATAAAGTTCATAACAGTTCTTGTAATTGAAATAAAACTGTTTATCTACATATAAATTTCTGTTGATATCAACTGCTTAATTTCCTTTAATATACTTCAGAAAAGTGTATGAACTGTCTCAAAATCTGCACTAAAAAGCAACAATCAAACAAAATTTTGTTAAAACCTTCTATGAGTTATTAAAGTTTTGATTAATTTTTTCAAATTTATTTGAAATGCTTACCGTTAAATATTCTTTACTACATTATAATTATTAATCGTCTTTCAAAAATTGCAAAGCATCGCATTCAACAAATACATGAACCATATATCATGAACAAAGTGACAGTATCTTTGCTTTTACACATTTAAATGGAAGTAAGTGACACAGAATACTAAATTGATTCCATATTCACAGTACACAATATTTAATTAATAAACTTACCCATACTGATGTAATTTAATATATTGCAGGTAAAATCTGAAGTACTTTAGGACATCATCTTTAGGAAGCAGTTTAACAAGTGTTATTATTTTATTTCTAGTAAATCCTTTGTCTTTTAATGATTCTTCAATAGCTCTATTGCAATTATCTTCTATAATATTTTTTACCCATAAAAATGTAGCAAAGTCAATGTTCTTGTTACAGCTAGGATTAAGAAAAAAAATTGTAATTTAAATGAAACTTAGTCTCGTTATCATAATTAAGGTGCCAATTTTGATGAATTTTGTACAACTGTTTATTTGAAATGCTTATTACACTTCTGATTATATTTTAATATTTTATTTATTACTTAGCAAATTACTGTTATTTTATAAATTATAAAGAATTGGTTGTAACATAATGAGTAAAGCAATCATATTTTTTAACATTAAAACAGTAGGTGCATTTAAATATAATGTACTTAGCATTTTTTTACTTTTAGTTTTACATCTAAATAAACTGATGGTGCAGAACACCTATTTAATTAATGAAATATCCACAGTAATTAATCATTATTCACTTTTAATTAATATACTTACACATATTGATATAATTTTACATATTGCAGGTAAAACCTAAAGTACTTTAAGACCTCATCTTTAGGAAGCACTTTGGAGAGTGCTACTATTTTATTAATAGTAAATTCCCTATCTTTTAATGATTCCTCAATAGCTCCACTGGAGTCTTCTTCTATGATATTTTTTACCCATGAAAATGTAGCAAAGTCAATATTCTCATTATAGTTTTTTAGAAAAAAATCATATATAACGTTCATATGATTAATTCCCATGTCCAAATTATGTTCTCTGTATGTTTTACCATTTTCTAATGTAAATATTTCTTCAGGTTTATTTTTTTTACATTTAGTCTTATTTGTATGAACTGAGTTACTTATGCTCTCTGCATAATTGTCAGTTTGTCTTAGTTGACTTTGTGAAGAATTATTTTGTCTTAAACTGTACCGACTTAATGAATTATGGCTTGATAATATTCCCTTGTATAGTTTAGCATTTGTTTTCAAGTTTGCTTTCAGAGAAATTCTGGAAATTAACCTTTTCTGTTGCATAAGTGATGAAAACGGTAAGTTATTCGCTAAAATAAAAGTATACCCTAAGGCCTAATAATAAAAATAATTAAATAATACCTGCATTTATTAGTTTTAAATAAAACTATAGTCAATGATATTTGTAAATATAATATAGGCAATTTCTCGCTTGCTTTACCTTTTTCCTTTTCAAGAAGACTGTTCATTCTTTTCTCAAAAGAGGAATTATTAACTATATCATTTATTGAATAGTCTTCTTCTTCAGTTACAGACGCAAATTTTTGAAATAATGAATCCCAATATTCCTTTCTTTGCTTCATTATTTCTTCGTATTCTGATAAATATACCCAATTAAAAAATAATTCAAATAATTATCTAACTACTATGATTGAAAACTTAAGTTAAGAAACTGTATAAAGTAAAAGTTTAGATATATATAAAAATCTATACAACGAATTCTTTTTAACTTTTTCTTATGATTCATTTTCATTTCAAACCAAGGGTGATATTAAAATTAAAAACCAATATTTTTCTTACCAGCTGATAATGAAAAAGCTTCCATCTCACCTTTTTTTAAATCCTAATCTTATTTGTTTCTAATTTTTGCAATTTAAATTTAACCTAAATTAGTAAGAACTACTACAAATTATAACATTTCTATATTTTCTCTGTGTATCTCATAGAATAGAGATTTATAGAGTATATATTTCTCTAATCTATGGTGTATCCATAAATTAAAGATATATACAGGCCTGACGCTGGAAGCTGGCGGAAATTTTAAAATGGCGTGGATGCGCGGTGACAAAAGTAGGCAGCTTTAGTTATAAAGATTGCCCTCATTCTTCAGTATTCCTATTAGGGGCGTAGATTAAATATTTAAAAATAGAGATTAGTGAACAAGTAATAGACAGACAAACAGAAGAACTAATTGTTGATGTTGGTGACAGTGATAGAGATTCCCATGATGAGAGTGAATGTGAAAACTAATTATAAAACAAAAGCAATAGGTTTATTTTTTCTTTTTGGTAAGTTATGTTTCTACATTATTTTCTAGTACGCTACTGTCCTATCTGTATTAATACTATAATTTACACCTACTGAAAGCTTATTTGTGAATCGGTTCTAAGTGACTTACCCAAGGTCATAAATGGGCAAGTACCTGCGCGACCGCTCGCCAGCTTCCTTCGTCAGACCTGTATGTGTTTCGCCTTTGACGTTTTGAACGTTTATAACCATTGATCAAAATTCGCGCAACTGGAGCTCCTCGAAATAGGCTGAATGCTTCCGAGGATTCCGCGATTTTTAGAATCGCCCATAGATTAAAGAAATATATACTGTTTTGTATATTATTGTAATAAGTCAGATAGACTAGTTTTTAGGTAGTTCTGTAAGTTTCTTTTTAAAATCTGTCTGTTTAATTTTTTTTTATTTAATTTTGTTTGTAGTTAATTCAAGTGCTGAATTAGAGTGTGAATACCTGATTTAAAGCGGTTATATACATATAAAGACATGGATTTTCAAAATCGCCCAGGAGGAAAAACAGGAGGCGGAGGGGTTGCATCTTGGTCAGAAACTAACAGAGATAGACGAGAACGTCTTCGCCAATTAGCGTTGGAGACTATTGATTTACAAAAAGATCCTTATTTTATGAAAAATCATCTTGGATCATATGAATGTAAATTGTGTTTAACACTTCACAATAATGAGGGCAGTTATTTAGCTCATACTCAAGGCAAAAAGCATCAGGCAAACTTAGCGAGAAGGGCTGCAAAGGAAGCAAAAGATGCACCTTCACAGTTGGCTCCTGAGAAGCCTAGAGTAGAGCCAAAGAAATTTATCAAAATAGGTCGACCTGGTTACCGTGTAACAAAACAAAGAGATCCAGAAACAGGGCAACAAAGTTTACTTTTTCAAATTGACTATCCTGAAATAGCTGACAATGTTATGCCAAGACATCGGTTTATGTCAGCTTATGAACAAAAGATTGAGCCACCAGATCGCAAGTGGCAGTATTTACTTTTTGCTGCAGAGCCCTATGAAACAATTGCTTTTAAAGTTCCAAGTCGTGAAGTAGAAAAAACTGACAACAAATTCTGGACCCATTGGAATAAAGATACTAAACAATTTTTCCTGCAATTTGCTTTTAAAAATGAAACAAAGAAACCAGGCACTATAATTGCAAGAGGGTCAAATATTTTGGGTGCTGTACCCCCTCCGCCTATGTTACCTGTCCCTCCGCCCCCTAGGCCACCAATGTTTAATCCTATTCCTCCTCCTTCATTGGTTGGTGGTGTCTTACCTGTTCCACCACCAATGCAGTAATTTATTTATTAAATATGCATTGATCAGTTGTACTTTATCCTTCAATGTTTTTGTCATAATATAATTGCAACTACTATATTTTGTGTTGTAAACATTAACGATAAGATGAACTAAAAAAAATTTTATAAATAAATGACGGTTATTATTTGATTGTTTGACATCAGAATAGTTCAAAATTGATGCAAGTTAAATTCCCTATTTTCCACCAAAAGAATTTAATGAAAAAGTCTACAATGATATAAAATAAGTACTGTTACTCTTGCATAATATAAGTAAAGGTATAAATATGAAGTTATGACTTATTTATTTATTTGTTTATACCAGAATTAATACAATGGCAATGGACAAAAGGCAGTGAAACCTTGCTTGTTCACAGATGTCATTCATTACAAAAAAATAAAACTAAAAATACAGTTAGCATTAACTATAACGCACCTCCAACATTCCACAACAAGAATAACCCTTTTTGTCTATAATATTGAATAATTTATGCTGTTGTCTTTTAGAATAACTCTAGTATTTTGTTATATGCACTCCCCCCTGCACGCATTTATTCCGTATGTGGCTATACAGTGAAACTGTGAAAAGATATTATTTATAGAGGGTTTTTCAGACGTTATTCGACACGAAAGATTATGGCTGTTCCTAGATTTTTAAATAATTTTTTGTGGAGGCAGATAGGGATCCATAAGTGGTACATTTTAAAATTATTTTCATAATACACAGGGTGTCCAGTAAATGAAATGTGCCAATTGTTTCTTTACATGGAATACCCTATATATGTCAAGACAAGACAGCGTAATACATCATTACATCTTTTGCTGACTTCGCATAGTCTATAAAAGCCATTCATAAATGTAGAGTAATTAATACAGCTTTAGACGAGACCTATAGTATTGTTCTGTACTTTTTGTAATAATAAACTTTCTTAAAAAGTCCCCGTTCCAATTTTGGAATATAACATATGTTTCTACATTTGGCGCGTTAATTTTAAAAATGAAAGTGAGTTGCATAAGAAAAAACTTTTTTGTCCTTGAAGGGATTTTTGAAGCTCCACGTAGAAATAGACGAATTGTAGGTTGTCTACTGAATAGGAAATACGTATACAGTATAGAAATTCAAAAGTACTTTCGCGCGGACAACATTGTCGGCTTGCTTGTATACTTGCTTGTATACTTATACTTATACTTATATATACATATATGTTGGGCGCTGAAATAACTTAACATAACTTAATTAGATCGTTTGCAAGCTCAGCGATGGTGCTAACCAAAATTTTATCGAATATATTTATCATAAATTATACTTAATATCCATACAATAACGTCATTAATACATATACATCTCCAAACCTATACATATATGATAGCTGCACCATTTACAAATTGGAGCAGTTTGTACCTATTTGTAAATTTATTTTAAAAACAACTGCTCAGCGGATATCGCCTCTTAAGTGAACGAAACTTAAATTGTAGAAGCGAACTCACAAACGGCAGATAGACGTGACTATGACGTATGATAAATGACTATGAAATTTTTAAGGTTATATACCTATAAATCACTTATTTGCACCGAAAAAAGCATTAAAACACCTTTCCTTCGACGTTTTCTTATGAGTTTCTTATAAATACACCTTCTTTAACTAAAACCCGTACTACAGGAGTTGAATTATTAATGAAAATTGAGGTAGCGACTATGAAAATGAGGTGTGAACTTTGACGTGCGATCTACAAATATAAATTTGCAAAAAAAGCGTTAAAAAGACCCTCCCCCGGATTATTTCATGTAAGTTTTTCATAATTAGGCCATTTTACGTCATTTTCAGCAAAAAAAAAGTTGCATTTTCGAAAAAGTCGCGATTCGGAAGTTTTACCCTAAAGGACATGCCTTAGCGGTCAGAATTATGGTACAACAAAAGAAAGAGATGGAACGAGGTTTCGAACAACATCCATTTCTCTCACGACAGTGCGGTGCGTAAGCGTGTCATGAAAGAGAGAGCACTAGTCCGAAACCATACGCCATCTCCCTCACTTTTCGAGCCAAGAAATTATTACAACGACATACGGCTGAGGCTATATATGTCTATGGTTATAATGGCAACAAGAAATAAAACTTCTAAGCCTTAAAACACCACCAACACCAAGCATTACATCGAAATTCTAGTTGGTATAATGTTTATTATTTTTCTTTACTAATTGACTATCTATCAGTTTGTTAAAAAGTAGAGAATTGAAGTAGAGAAGGAGATAACGTTCTTGTTTACCCATAGCATAAACAAAAAAAAATAACGTATCACCAAACCTCACATTTACTATAAAAATAAGTTGTGAACAGATTTGTCAAGTCAAAGTGAATCAGCTATAACGACTAGAAATAATATAACGAAGTCAAAACGTTGTGAATATGGCCAGTAGTGATTTTAGTTTAAGTTGTTTTTTATCAAATGCATTTTATGAAATAATAGGAAGTCCACTAAATATCGGACTTGTTTCGTTAATAGCTTTTCTTGTTTATAAAATATTTAAGAATAAAACGAATGAGTTAAATGTACTTCCGGTAGAACCACATCTTCCTAAACTTAAACGAAGAGATTTTACTATAGAAGAGCTAAAGCAATTTGACGGCACACAAGAATCTGGACGTGTTTTGATTGCAGTGCTTGGAAATGTTTATGACGTTACTAGAGGAAAACGTTTTTATGGACCAGGTATATAATGCTCTGTACTTACTGCAATATTATGTGGTTATTATTCTTACTAATTAAATGTAGGAGGGCCTTATGCAGCCTTCGCTGGTCGTGATGCATCAAGAGGCCTTGCAACTTTTTCAGTAACATGCAAAACAGATGAATATGATGATTTAAGTGATTTGGGAGCAATGGAAATGGATTCTGTTAAAGAATGGGAGGCACAATTCAGAGGTAAATTTTATTTTTGAAAATCACGATTAAATGTGGCATTTTCATGATAAAAGATTGAGTTTTATTGACTTCTGTGTTGAGTGTAGTACAACTATTTTATAAAATTATAGCGAGTCATGGTATATCATATGTCAATTTATGTCAACATTTTCATTTGAACTAAACACAAACTAAACAAAGTTCCTTATTTTCTTTAACAAAAACCTGTATAAGTAGATAATGTTTCTTTATAAAAATTTCCCATTTTAAGGATTTAAATAATAAAACAAGGGTGATACAGGGAGAATGAAATAGTAATAGAAATTTTAAATATGTGATTAATGAATATTTATTGTATTTTGTATGTCTAAACATACTAAATGTTTCTATCTAAAAACAATTTAATAACTCAAATAAAATAGGTACAGTACAACATTAGGGTAACAACCATGTGTATGAACGAATGCATAGAAAAAATATTAAAAATAAATTTCTAATTTACCACAACATCCTGCACTATCCCCACAAGGATAACATAGTGCTAGCCTACAATTCATGCCATCAAGCGTCCACATAAAAACCGAATTGAATGTCCATGTGAGGATACCATTTAAGTAGTTCCACAAATGTTAGTAAGGGGCTCGGAGTTCTTTCTGTCAGCTGTGCAAAATTGTTTAATGAGCATTCGCTGACACTGCTTAAATGAAGGAATCCGTACCGACATTCAGCTATTTTCGGTTTGCAAATTGAATTATTCAGTTTCTTAGAGATTATTGCTTGTAAGTCATCAACTTCGTCTGTATGAAGCAAGCCAGTCAATAACTGACTGAAGTTAGCGACACTACAAGGTGTAACAGAATAAGTGCGAAGCTTTGGATGCAATAAATAATCGCATGGTGAGTTCAGCAGCGTGGTTAAAGACAAAACTTTTTGTTAAGGCAATCGCAATAATTTACAAGTTGGTCTTGTACGTGAATTGCTAACGTAGATGTCTTCAAATCAGGGATGTTACGGAGCTTCGACTCCGGTTCCGTTAAGTCGGAACTTCCGATTATTATTACACCTTCGGTTCCGACTTCGGCTCCGACACTTTTAAATCGATGGTTTTAATCGGAGGTCGAAGCATAACATAGCGGCGGCCTGTGTCGACTGTTATGAACAGGTTCATAGTATGAACTTCATATATGTCGCGTGGGGAATCCACCCGACTCCCACACTGCACTGAGCACTCTATATCGTCAATTATTTTTTCATTGTTTGTGTTTTATTATATAATTGAAAATTGAAATGAAAAAAATTTGACTACATAATGTTTTATTTGTCCTTATATAAAAAATTCTCTCTCATGCTACCACTTCTGACTCTGCCTCCGACTCTGATTCCAACTCCGATAAAGCAAATTTAAAAACTCCGACTCCGCCTTCGGTTCCGATAAAACTACCTCCGTTACATCCTTGCTCCAAGTAGTACACTGTAATAAAAACTCTGCAGTTACATCGACGACAAATGTAAACATTGCCGATTATCGAACGTCTAAGATAAACATAAACAATTTAGTACTACACCTATTGGATTACATAAATTAAGTAAGTCCATTACAGAGTAGTTGTCAGTAAATTTACCAAAAAACAATCCAATCTCCTATTCTGGAGATCGTCTTTTTTGAAATCAAGGATTTTTTCCGATGTTATGGTTCAAACTCGTAAATTCGTTGGCTGTTAACATAAACACTCTGAATACCTAATTCAATTATCATCATAATAAGGTCGTCAGTCCTAAGATTGGTTAGACACGTACCTCCAATCTTTCCTATCCTGAGCTAATCTTCGCGTTTCCCTAAAACTAGAACAACCCACATCCTTAACTATTTGCGAACAGTAATCTAATCTAGGTCTACCTCTACCTAAAAAACAGACAAACATTTACTTTATTTTCTTGGTTTATAATTCCCTCTCATCTTCTGGAATATCCGCACTTATTTCTGTTATATCCTGTATATTGAATTCACTTCTAATATAGAAAACTAACTATTGAGCTATAAAACTTGGAATATAAATGATAATCGTGAATCTGATATTTTAAAATCAATATCAATATAGTACAATATAATAAAACTAAGGGAAATTAGCATACACCTCCGTTTTTTGGTAAATGCCTAGTTTTACAGTCATTATATATATATATCATGTATGCGTAAGTTTCTAGACGAACACTTAGATGCTGGATTGGACGTATGGATTCTGTAACCTAGCCGGCGCATAGTCCGGATCTAAATCCGCTGTCTCTTAGCACCCAAGTTGAATTTCTAACATCGATCGCTATCGCAATTTTACTGTACGTTGCTAATTCTGGTTTTTCTACAAATTTGTTTGTCCTTCACCACACTGAATTACTTACCATACGATTCTCTATTGCACCCGTCAAAGCATGCTACTTATTTCAAAAACAGTCTGCATATTTACTTTACCTGTGTTAATAAAAAGTCACCACTGTTGGCTGTTTGGTCAAAACAATTGTAAATCTAGAAAATCTTTGAATTCGTTAGAACATTTCCTTTTTTCTTTCTTTCATTATTCGTTATTTTCAATTTTTTTAAAACATTAATCCTTTTTTCGTTCGTCAAACACTTCCACGAAGCCCCATTTTATAATACTGCACATTCGTAGTCAATCTAAATTAAATAATCAATACCATTTATTCCCCTTTAGTTGTAATATGCAAAACCCAGAGCTGATAAAGGTGAATAAGGTTTTTTATTTGCTGTAAAAGCCCAACCTACGCTTAGGATTCCGTTTGAGAGAAAAATATCGAATTACCCTTTTTAGATGTTATTCTTATTAAAAAGGGGCTTCACTATTGATACTGGTAACAGATTCAACAATAAATTGCGCAATCAACTTATCCAAGTTAACAGATTTTGATCCACTCGCAATATTTATTAGAGTAGAGTGCTTTTTACATAGTACTGCTGATTTTGAACCGGTACTGATCGTAATATGTTTTTTATTTTTTGTATCTTTACTTTTATGTTTTTCATAATTTAACAACAGGGTAAAGGTCTAGATTCTAGATGATGGGGGATCGAAAGAGGGTGGTCACTTAAACAAACCCCGACAACCCAACCTAACCTAACCTATCGATAAAGAATAATGTTTTATATAACTTTCTCAATATTTTTATGTATTTTTCATTAGTTTTACATTTGAATATTGTTTAAGAATGACTATATAAATAAATATTTAAATGCCTAGAAATGTATAAAAATTGGCATATTTATTAACTTTGAACCCCCATAACTTATTATGGGGGTGAGACCGCCACGAACTTTTTATGGTACAGTGGTGGGGGGACCCCTGAAGGGGGTGGGGGCCATCGTCTAAACCTTTACCAACAACAGGTCTTCGTGCCCTTTCCTCTGCAATAAAAAAATAGATAACTTGGAATGGGAGAAAACTATCTAATAGAAATAATTTATCATTATACCTTTAAGTGCTTCAGGAAATTTGTAGTAGAAGTAACACTACTCTTTATTAATTTTGAACATACATTGCCTACTGTAGACACATTCACGTCACTTCCATCTTCTCATTTAATATCTTTAAAACAGTGCCTTAAAATGGGAGGTAAATTCAAATCTATATTACTTTCTTTATACCTGAAAACAAACAATAACTTTACTGAGCAAATATTCTGTGAAAATTTATAATGTTTGTGATTGGAATGAGAACATTTATAAGAATTTAAAAAAGTCAGTATAATATAATATTAGCACATTACGTGTCGATGGAAGAAACAGGGTTTTTTTCAGACTGCATGCGAATTGCAAACATGCAGCCTGCGATAACCCTGTATTTCCCGAGGTACGTATACTATTTTTTGTCGTGTTTGTACGGAAAGTTCGTCATTAAATTGATAGTTGACGAAATAAGAGTAAATTATTTAGAGGTTAGGAAGTCATTGTGATTGTAGACATTTTAATCACCGCCGAACAACTGATTTCAGCGCATGCCCATAAACCTCGGCGTATGCGCTCAATGCCTAATTTCATAGAAAAATGGCTGAAAAAAGGCCATATCTTCCCTTTTTTTATAGCACGCAAAATAAGATTTCCGCGGTAACATGACAAAAAATATTTAACAGAAAAATTCAATCAAAATAAATTATTTCTGTATAGTCCAGTCGGTAGAGAATTTTTCCGACGTTACCGGACGGGAGGTGTTCCTTGTTGTAGGCGGAGAAAAGTTAAGCATCCCTGTATATCTTTAAACTTCGAAAAAATGTGCGTTAACAACTCCCCCATTTGTTAACGCCACGTTCAACGTTGGCAAAAACCAAGTTTTTAGATCTAGAAGGAAACGTTTTAGAAAGAAAAGTTTCAAATAAAAATTGTAGAGAAATTAAAAAACTTCAATTTGAGCCTCAGTACGATCAATTTTGTCTGTTAGTTATTGCACAAAATCCCAAAAAATCGTCAAAAATTGTCCTTTCTTGTATATTGATTGTTTATTGCGAAAGTGACTTTTAGTGATCTTATCACATTGAAATGTGGGTTTTTAACTTTTTTTTGAGCAAATATTTTCGGTTGCACATAGGTTCCGACTGCGTAGTTGGAAGCGACGGTGAATATTGCTAATTGGGCGTCGTGTGCGGGATGAGCTAGCAATGTTGTCTGTGTCAGCTGTTCTTTTAGGACCTCGAAAGCTTGAATTGTTTCTGGAGTCCACTCAACCGGTATTTTACCTTTGACGTTACCCTTTAACAAATCATTGATAGGGGCCTGAAGTTCAGCAGCTTTAGGTAGAAATCTTCTATAAAAATTTATCATACCTAAAAACTGTCTTAATTTCTTTATGGTATTAGGACGCGGAAGTTCACGAATCGCGTCAATTTTCGCGGGGAGCGGGCGAGTACCATCGCTTGAAACTAGGTAGCCTAAGAACTTGACTTGATTTTGTCCAAAAACACACTTGGCTGGATTAATTACAACTCCATATTGTTTTAAACGGTCAAATAATGTTCGTAAATGGTCTAGATGTTCTTCTAACAACGTTGATGCGACCAATATATCATCGATATATGCATAGCAGAAATCTAGACCTTGTAGCGCTTCGTCTATAAATCTTTGGAATGTTTGCGCTGCGTTGCGCAACCCGAAGCTCATAAACATAAACTCAAACAAACCAAAGGGAGTTGTAATGGCTGTTTTTGGCACATCTTCTTCAGCGACCGGTATTTGATTGAACGCGCGCACTAGATCTATTGTTGAAAACACATTTTTACCGCGTAAAGTCTGGGAAAAGTCTTGAATGTGTTTCACGGGATATCGGTCGGGACACGTTCGCACGTTTAGGGCACGATAATTATCACACGGGCGCCACTCGTCATCCTTTTTCTGCACCAAATAAAGCGGCGATGACCACGCACTTTTTGATGGGCGAGCGATGCCTAAACGCAGCATTGCTTCAAACTGTTGTTTGGCACTTTTTAGTCTTTCAGGTGCAAGTCGCCGATGTTTCTGAGCAACTGGGGGACCCGGTGTGGTAATCATGTGGTGCCTTGTTGAGTGTGCCGTTAATTTTGGTGCCCCATCTGGTCGTGTTACTTCAGGGTATTGTTTCACAAGACCGAGAAAGGGTGAAGAACCGGAAATAGTCTTTATCGATGGAATTTCACACTCATTTACTTCACCTAGGGAAATAAGATGGGTGGTTAAGTCCAAAGTCGCTTGTTCTTCATATCTACCAATAGACCGAAATGTGCGAGAAAATCGACTCCAATGATAGGTTTGGATATGTCTGCGACAACGAATCTCCACGTAAATTGTCGTCGAAGGCCCAAGTCTAATGTTATTGTGATAGTCCCAAAAGTAGTGATGTTGGTACCATTTGCTGCGGAAAGCTCATAGTTGGATCTTTCTCGTGGCTCAGGTAGTTCACTGCGTGAGAACACACACAAATCCGCTTCTGTGTCGATGAGGTATTGAACACGTGATGTTTGTCAGCGACGAACAAACGGCGTGATGACGTAGGGCTGGGGTCGTCGGCTGTCATTAACGACTGTCCAAGTCGTTTCCCAATGTGTTACCGGAATAGCTGCATGGGTTTACGTATTTTCTAGCGTTTGCCCCAAAACGCCAATGGAACCAACACATACACTTTCTCTATCTGATCGCGAAGTAGAAGAACGCGAACTTGAGCACTGTTGAGCTTGATAGCCGCTATTTCTTGCAGCGCCGATGTCAGTGCGTTCTCCAGAAGATCAAAGCGGTTGTTGATGGCTGATTCGGTAGGTGTTGATGACATCTCCGCAATATTATTGAAGGTGCCATAAGCCTCGATAATGGAATCGGCAATTTCGGCTCTCTTATCCAACGTGAGATCTTTATGTCCCACTAGAATTGCTTGGACATGTTTTGCAAACGACTTACCTAAAGTGTTTGAAGTATGTCTTCGGGAAACTCATTTCCAGCAAGATTCCGCAGGTGCCGTAAAAATTGCGTAGGTTTTCGATCACCAAACGGTTCATTTTCTAGGAGTCGTTGCGTATTGTGTTCGCGCGACGAACCCATTCGTTTAATGAGTTCGGTTTTTAACATCGAATACGATCGCTCTTTTCGCGGTTTTAGTATAATGTCGCGCACTTTTACTGCGTATTTTTGGTCCAAACCACTGATCGCGTACCCGAATATGGTAGAGTCTTGGGTAATTCCGGAAGCAACGAAACTACTTTCAAGTATGGAAAACCATAGTTCCGGATCTGCTGCTATAAATTGTGGCACTTTAACTGTTACATGGTCGATGGAAATGTCTGTGTGGTATCAGAATGTCAAGTTGCCATGGTTAATTGTTGTTGCTGTATTTATTCTGTACACTTAAACACAATGAAAGTTGCTAATTACCGATGAAAGTTTAATTATTTATAAGATACTATTCTAAACTGTACACTTCTGCAATTGTTAAACTCACGCACGTTCCGAATAAACTTACTTACTTGCGTTTTTCGGTCGGGGTCACCAATTTGTGGGTGATTATGGACGATGAAGAAAAACTCTTTGTTGAGAAGAGAAGTAGATAATTTGTTTTACAGAAAAGGAAGATGAGTAAAAGCAAATAGCGGAAAGTTGGTAGATGCTAATATGAAGAGTGGCTGAGAGAGACTGGTTTTTGAGGGTGCAGAAAAAATTATGTGAATATGCACATGTGTTTTTATTTTAGGGTACAGCTCTTGAAAAGAAGGAACCGTCGACTTTCGTTCTCAGAATTTTCTGTCGGTCGGTTTTTGTTAGTATGAAATAGGATACATTATGTCGGTTAGGTATAGATACACTCAAAAGGCAGGAAGTCAGATCCAGAAAAGAAACTGTTAACATGCTATTAGTAGAAAGACAGTTCGTTAGAATATTTACAAGTTGAAGAAAAGCAATAGTTATATATATACAGAGTGTTACATATTATTTACAATGATTTTATATGCACAAAACAAGACTAGAATACATAGTATAATAGGCGAGGGTCGCTACTTAACTACGTACTACCAATTTGCGAATTCATTAATACATGGAAATTGTTTGGATTAATTTATTATTCTTTTTGCAAAGCTAATTTGTCCTGAAATCGCGTAAGACTAAAAGGAAATTATAACTTATTTACGTTTATACAAAAGTATTATGCGCAAATACTAGATAAGCCAAAAACTAGCATGTTACGTAAAGAACATGGATAAGTATTACGTATGAAATCGCGGTTGGCAGTCGGAACTCGATGAATAATACGTAATATTTTTAATGCGTGCATCTGTGGTATACTTCGTTTACTTTCTGTAGCGATGTGACCTTCAGTTTGAGCGACGCAAAGTAAACAAGAACAGCACTAGGCCAGAGAAAAAAGGAGACAACTCTCGGCCAAACTCTTAACCGGTGAGGAGCGTATAATCCATACAGTACTGCACAGAAAAATTGACCATTTTATCCACTACAATTGCATTGCCCAAATGTGCTGTTATTGGTACCATTTACTACTGAAAATATCAATGAGATGTTTATTTATATTTGAAGATATATTAAAAGCTTTAACGCTTGTTTTTGACTCGCACTACTATTCATGATTGAACAAAACTTTTGGCAGGTAGGTAAAAAAATATGTTCAATGAACAAGAGTCGAGAGTATAATGAGTTTTTTTCTCCCTACATATATAACTAGATAAATGCGTGCGCGCATCAACACTGGCAACCGAACCCGTTCGAATTCATACGCATGCTCTGCCCATTCTAAATAAACCAAATTATTCCGAATACGTATTATCAAACAAAATTTTCGGATTAATCTGAATATTGCCATTATACAAGAACTACTAGAACATTGATTGAAGCTAACAACATACCTTTTGTGTCGAAAATCGATAATCTGCCAAATGTACCACAGGTTAGATTAATCAGAGATTATTTGTCTTTTTTGAACAGAGCTACAAATGAAGAATAACTAAGGCTTAGAATATATTAAAAGATAAGAGGAATTGATATAAATACCGTCCAACACATGATGGGCTACAAAAACTGTATCATTAAGGACAACGGCCCTTTGTTATTATTTTAAACATATACGTATTTCATTAACATAAATGTAAATTAAAGTGTTGGTAAAATTATCATCTACATAAATTCCGTGATAGATACTAAACTTAAATATTTTAAAAAGTTTTTGAAAAGACATATGTAACAATACAGATTATGTAAGAATGTATTATTTATTTTTTTTCCTGTTCCACATCTCTGCAGTTATAATATGTATATTATATTGTTATATGTGCTACAAGTAACATCATTTCAATAAATAGATAAAATTACCTGTTTAAAGTCGTGAATTTTAATTTCATAAAGCAAAAATCAGTTCATTCTGAGAATTTCCTTTAATAACTGATTGTGTAAAAGTTTGTAGACCAAATAATAGTTTGTAAGAAAATGATTCCTATTTCTCATTTATTAAGATAAATATTTAATTTGGTGTAATTCATTACGGTATTAAAAGAGATTATTTTAGTTTCTGAAATTTTTCACACACTTATTCTTTTTTAGAAAAGTACGATTTTGTGGGTCGCCTTTTAAAGCCTGGCGAAGAACCTAGAAGTTATTCGGACGAAGAAGATGACGAGGAAACAGGGGGAGAAGGAGGTGGCGAGAAAGTGAAAAGTCAATAAGTACTGTAAATATAAGAATTTAATGCATTCAAAACCCTGTAATATGGTAATTAAGGCTGCTTATACTTATAATTTTAAATAATTGTATTGTATAGATATTGTACCTCTACAAATCTTTTTTTAAACTAAATCTACAGAAATGGATTTCATCCTAAATGCATTTATCAGAATTACTATAATTAAATTGTAAAAATATTATTTTAAGGTGCACTTGAGTGAGTTTGAAGCAAAATTAAGAATTATGGCATAAAACTGATTACTTAAAGCCGTTAATGAATGTTATTTTTCAATGTCTATATATTTACACCGCTTTCTTCAACTTATTATTCTTATTTGTACTTAAGGTTAATGGTTTGGTGTAAAAAATTGATGTTTTTTCCCAATAAAAACGGTTTATTAGGTCTGATCATATAAAGTTTTATCAGTGTTCAGCTTATTGATAAGTGGGTTTTATTAAAATAAACGTATATATTTGTTTAATTATTTACATGTCTGTATATTTTAATAATTTGTATTGACTATTTTTTCCCCTCTTAGATAATAGTAGGAAACATAGAGCAGTAATAGAGGATGTAAAATCTAATCTATTGCAAAAACACAACTGTTATTTCGTCCCCGTACGGGTTTTTCAAGGTTACAATAATATATGATTTACGGTAATATTTTANTAAGCTAAAGCTATTGCTTCAAATTCAATAGGCAATAGCTTTAAGAGGGAAATTCAAATAAATACAGACTCAACCCCCATTTTAGGACAATTCCAGAGAGTCTCCAAAAAGAACTTCTGGTATTATTGACAAAAGGGGCATGGTCTAACCTCTTCAGATAAAGAATGACCTAGAAAGACCTTCTAAAGATCCAAAATTGTCCATAGTGTCGGTCGGTCGTTCACGGTCGAACATGTTGTCTCGGGCATTAAATTAAATTCGTATAAATTTTGTGAAAATTTTACACTGATTTAAATAATTGTTTAGTGCTACTGTGACTTTTGAAAGAGATACTTGAAGATTCATAAACAATTTTCATTTTCTAACATCAGTTGGCTGATCAGACCAAAGGGGAAAATTCCAGAGGCAGAAAATACACACACACTAATGCTTTCGAAAGGAAAGGAAAATTCCATGACGAAAGTATACATATCATAACTAAACAACAGGCCACCTGTCAACATGCCCACCACCATCACCATCTGCCCCATCTGTGATGAAGGGCTTAATCGTGGTAGAGGAGGCACCAAATGCACATCCTGTGACAAGCGAGTGCATACTGCATGCAAAAAATCTGCCCAAGCTCACCACCGGAGCGTTTGCCTTTTGCTGCGGATCTCTCGGCAAGAGTCGTTGCTCGCTGGACCCTCCCGTCCTGTCACCGATGGTCAACAAAACTCCACCAAGTCCGACTATAATCAGGACAATAACATCTCCAAGTTCCCTGCTCACCAAGGAAGATCTCGACTTGGCCCTGAGCAATTGGGCAGAGAGAATAGAGACCTCGGTGAAAACCACTCTGACAGAGCTGATGGATATGACGTTGGCCGAAGTCATCGATAGAGTTTACGTCCTGGAGACCAAACTGTCCTCTTTGGAACGGGAATTCCGATCAACCGATCGTAATCGCTCCAATCACTTGCTTTCTGCCACGATGGAAGTCTTGATTGGTGAGGTTGAGAACCGGCGTAACCATGCGAGGAACGTCATCGTCTACAACCTCAAACCGGTCGAAGGAAAAAGTGATGTGAATGGTTTCTGCGACCTGGTTAGAGATGTCGCTGAGTTTCGTCCACCCACGTCGTCATTCCGTTTTGGTTCTTCGATGGAAGAACGCCCAAGACCCGTCAAGCTCATCTTTAATTCCGAGGAAGAGGCTCGTGCTATTCTTAGGCGCAAGACTGTACTCAGTGATCTGGGTATAACGGTTAAAAACGACCTCACCTTGGACCGGAAATATCTATCTTCTCTCCACGAGGAACTACGACGTCGTCTGGATGGCGGCGAAACCAACCTCACCATCAAATTCCAGAATGGGACTCCTGAAATAGTTCCGAAAAACGTGTAACTAGGGTATGCAACTCTCCTACCACCACTCATTCATACATATCCATATTTTATCAAAATGTACGAGGGCTGAGGACCAAGTTGGACAAGTTTCGGCTCTTCGCTGCACTTAACGTTTTCGACAGATTGATTTTCACAGAAACTTGGCTGAACGACCGGATCCTCGATTCAGAACTTGGGCTGAATGGCTTTACCGTCTTCCGTTGTGACCGCCCGCAGGTGACTAACGGCATTCATATGTCGCCAGATTGTCTCTTACCAGGGAGAGATGGAAGTGCTATTTGTTGAATGCATTAACTTTGGCAGACCGGTCATTTTTGGAGCCTACTACGTTCCTGCGCCCAACACTGAAATATATGAGTATTCATACCACCATCATGCAGCTGCCCCGTTCATATGACTCCAATATTTTTCTGGCTGGAGATTTTAATCTTCCACACATCACCTGGGAGAACAAGCCTGAAGCCACCGTCTACATCGCTGATAACATGTCAACGAGGCATATACGAAATGCTGCTACTGCTCTCTGCACCTCCATCAACTTCCTAGGTCTCAGCCAACACAACACTATTGTCAATAACCAGGGTAACACTCTTGATCTGACCTTCTCATCGTTCAACTCGGTGACAGTATCACGTGATATCGACGAACTTCTCCCGGTGGACTCGTACCACCCTCCTCTGGTTGCAACTTTTTCTAATCAGCCATACACCTACAGCTACCCTGTACAGAAGATTACGATCGCGTAACCACAGCATTCAACGATATCCAGTGGACCGAGTTACTATCCATGGATCTGCAGATGGTTGTTGACCACTTCCAAGAAGCTATGAATACAGTCATCCGTGAACACGTTCCCTGCAAAACTGTAAAAGTCAACTCGTTCCCCGTCTGGTTTGACAGTCGCCTTAAACAACTCATACGACAGAAGAAATCAGCACATTACAACTTCAAAAAGACTGGGTTGGACCGGTACCAAACGGACTTCCTTCGAATTCGCAGATTAGCCTCTAATTATGCGGACTTTCTGTTCAGGAAATATGTGCAGAAAACGGAGGACGCAGTGTCTACTAATCCGAAAAGATTCTTCGGATTCGTGAACAGTCTGCGAAAAACTGGCTCACTTCCATCTACGGTGTATCTCGACGACCATGCTGCCTCTTGTTCACCTGATGCATCCGCCCTCTTTGCTTCGTACTTTCAATCTGTCTTCGTCAGCAATCCACCGCAAATTCCAACGACAATTTTCAATTTTCCCAGATCCTTGAACATCTCCCAGGTGTCACTCAGTCTGGCTGAAGTTTTTGATGGCTTACGTACTTTAGATCCACGATCTGGCCCAGGATCCGACAGGATTCCAAACCAGTTCTTGACTCTTGCTCGTTTCGGTTTAACCACTCCACTGTGGATACTCTTCAATAAGTCCTTGGAGACTGGTATTTTTCCGATGGCCTGGAAAAACAACTTGGTACGCCCAATCCTCAAATCAGGTGACAGAACGAACATCAGGAACTATCGGACGATAGCCCTGATCAACTCCATCCCCAAATTGTTCGAAAAGCTGATTGCCACCATGCTCCAACCCCATCTGGACTCCATCCTTTGCGAGGAACAACATGGTTTCCGATCTGGTAGATCTACAACGACGAACCTGGCTTTATTGAACTCATACCTCTATGAAAACCTAGAGGACAATCACCAGATCGACGTGATCTACACAGATTTTGCTAAAGCGTTTGATCGTGTGAATCATGTCATTATTCTTCGGAAGATGGAGGCCATGGGAGTCCACGGTGCTTTCCTGAACTGGCTGACCTCTTATCTGCAAAGCCGGACATACACTGTTGACCTGGATGGCCAATCTGGTGCTCTATACCATGCTCCATCAGGTGTACCACAGGGATCACACCTTGGTCCAATCCTATTCAACATTGTGATCAACGACCTCCCACGTTTCATCCGGTTTGGGAAGACCCTGATGTACGCCGACGATGCCAAGATGTTCCACACGGTTGATAGCCTTGATGATGCCCACGCCCTCCATGACGATCTCGACCATCTATCCATCTGGTGCCACAACAACCACCTTCAACTGAACGTGTCTAAATGCAAAGTGGTCCATTTCACTCGGAAGCGTGACGTCCTGCACTTCAACTACACGATTGACGGCACCCTCCTATCGAACTCCAAAGATATAGTTGATCTCGGGGTTCATTACCTCAGCAACGGCTCTTTTAATCTTCATGTGAACGAGCTGATCGCCAAGGGCTCCAGAACTCTAGGCTTCATCATCCGAAACAGCAAGTTCTTCAAGAACCCTACCACTATCAGGTCTCTCTACGTGACCCTGGTTAGGCCCCATCTTGAATACGCATCTGTGGTATGGAGTCCCTACACTGATGCAAACATTAAATCCATCGAGACTGTGCAACATAAATTCCTGAGGTCGTTCATGTTTAAAGCAGGTCAACCAATGTCTCTGTTGGACCACGACTACACAGATGCCATCTCCGTGTCCGGCCTGGAACCTTTACAAACGAGGCGCAAAATTTCTGATCTCCCCTTTTTATATGCTGTCATCAATGGCTCTATCTCCTGTATTGAGCTTTTTGAGTTGTTACAGTTCAACGAACCAACACGAGCTACGAGACGTCCGCTACTGTTCAGCACACCGTTTTGCAGATCTGATTTCAGACGAGGCAGTACCATCCACCGGATCTTAAAGACTGCGAATGACACCCTGTCCTCCAGGGACGACTTCAACCAATCTCTTTTTCTTTTTAAAAAATTCATTCGTAGCATATGTTCTGATGGCGATGTATTTTGATCTACTATTATTTATTTTTATGATTCACTGTCGTCTTACTTTCTTATTCTGTACTGCGTTATTGTGTTCAGTGCCTCAAAATCAATCATGATGCAATATCTTTATCTTTATCGATTTATATCTCATTTTTAACTCTGCAATGTTAATGTTATTTAAGATATATTTACTGTGATAGTATTGTTTAACTTGTTTAACATATTTTGTACATATTTTGAAAAACCCGTGAAATATATATATTGTTATTAAAAATGTTAAAATGATCACCACGTGCCGAAAGAAAGAAGAATTACAGACAGAGAATACAATTTAAAACCTAAAATAAATTGAAACAAGAAAAAAATATATAAAAGTCTGTCAAACAAAAAACACTGATGAGAATTCATTATGCTACGTTGAATCAACTGCTGCATTTGAATCAACTTAAGTATTATTTATAAGAGACCTTTGACGCACTAATGCTCTAACCACTAAGCAACGAAAGATGACAACAGCAACAACGACGAACCTTACTTATAGGTCGAACTAA